GTTATTGAACTCATTTTCAAAAGCAATCAAGCTTGATTGTTTTCTTGGAAATTTCTGTACTACTATGCGCTAAACGTGTGCAAAAATCTCAGGTTTTCTCTTCGATAAGTATTACAGACAGGGTCAAGCAAGGGGTGTGGCACACGATCGCTGGTTACGACCAGGGTTGAGCAAGAGGTCAGGCACAAGTCTTTCCAAAACGACCCCCCCCCCAGTGAAAGCCCCTAAACGACCCCTCTGCTTCACCTCCAGGACCTCAAGCTGTAATAATTCGAAGAGATCAGCCATTTTTGGGAGGTTCTTGCTTTTTGGAGATTTGTAGGTCGACTTTCTGCGATTGCACACTACACGCAACTTGACGGCAAGTTTTGGATTTTGAATAGCCCTACTTTTAGAGCTATAATTCCCACAGGGGTGTATTGTTTGGCTCCAAATTTGCAGTATTGCAAGAAGAGGCTTTGAGTTCAATACTCATAGAAGAAATGGAGCGATTTTTAGATTTTGAAAACAAGTTAATCGGGTCAGGCGCAACCCCTCAAAAGCTCAGGCGGCCTGACCTTTTGTGGGGTTGCGCCTGACCCGATTAACTTTATCATTGAACAAGCTTTTTTATTCAAGTTTTATTTGAATCGCTAGCACAACCCTCGAAGATTCCACAGTAAGTGTTTGGACTTGATTCGACTTGTTTCGGCCTTGTGGTAATCCGTGGAGTTGAAGCAGTCATGGCGAAAAACGCGCCGGTCGGAATTTTGGCATTATTTCTTACTCCACTATTTGCAAGCGATAGAAAGCGCGATTTTTAGCCTAGACTAGTAGGGAACAATACTTGTTATGAGTACAAAAAAATTGACTTTTCTAACTTTCGAAAACAAGTTAATCACGTTTGAAAATCACGCTTTTTAGTCGTTGAGAAACACTAGATAATGCAGTAAATAATGGTTTGTAGGGCTCATAGAGGTAATTTGACGTGCTCGGAAATGATATCCATTTCACACATCAAGCTTCCTTGATGAATTTATAATATGTCAAGGTAGAAGATGAAGATTTGAGTTTTGGCCGAAACTTCGATTGTGGAATCAATCAGTATGCTGTTTAAGACCGTTCATTCCTTCAGTACTGGTGAGGTCGCGATATCCACTAAACTAGCGCTTTTCTTCTTCACCTTAATCGTAGTATCTCCTCAATCGAACGAATTCGATTCCTAATCACGACCCCCCCTCTGTCTTACCCCAGTACGACCCCCAGATCGGGCGCGCCTGACCCCACGCTCAACCCTGGTTACGACCCCCCCCCCTGATTGCTGTCTTAATAAGACCCCCCCTGGACTATACCCTTGAGATAGCATTACTTGGAGGCCCTGTCAAACATAATGGGCAACATATCCATAATGAGCATGTCAATTAACCCCTGTAGACAAAGTTTGAGCGAATTTTGAAGATTCAAGATACTAGGCTACCTAAGTGAAATGGTCAAATTCCAACATGGTTAACTTTGTTTCAAAGGTGAATTAGCTATCCGTTTTCGCACTCAAGGCAAAGCACTACTCCTTCTTTGTCCACCTCAGGAATCCCGCTTCAGAAGACCTCCAAACTGTGGAATTAGAAGCCAGCCAAAATCTCGTTTTTCCCATTTTTCGCTTTTGATCGCTGTGCTTTCACCAAATATTACTCAGAGCTAAGAAGACGAATCAGGCTCAAATCACTCCCGTGAAAACTAGGTGATCTAAGCTATCAATCCATATAAATACTGTCCGCTAAAAATGTTTTTTTGATATAGTTAATGGCCTGCGGCAGCCGCAGGTTTTGAGGGGGGGGGGGGGCCGCAGGCCATTAACTATATCAAAAAAACATTTTTAGCGGACAGTATTTATATGAATCAATAGCCTAAACCTCGTAGATTCCATAGGAATGTTTTGAGCCTGATTCGTCTTCTTAGCTCTGAGTAATATTTGGTGAAAGCACAGCGATCAAAAGCGAAAAATGGGAAAAACGAGATTTTGGTTGGCTTCCAATTCCACAGTTTGGAGGTCTTCTGAAGCGGGATTCCTGAGGTGGACAAAGAATAGTGCTTTGCAGTAGTGCAAGAAGAAGTAGCTTACTCACCGTTAAGATGAAGTTAATCATGTTTTAAATTACTGCTTTATACAAGGTTGTTTACTGCTCGGAGACCTCAGAGTTCGCTGAAACTTGGCGCATAGGGGTTATTCGACACGCGGATTACGACAATTATGCTTGATTAGAGGTACGGTAGGTTACGGTAGGCATACGGTATCAGCAAGTTTGTGCCGTTGAACTTGAATTTTGCAGGATTTCAACAGCGCTTTCATCAAGTCACTCTAGTCACACAGCTTGTACAAGTGCTTTTGACCTTGGGTCGATACGACCCCCCCCTACCTACCCCCCCCCCCCCTAACGACCCCCCCTCCCCTGCGGCGTGCCGCACCCCCCGCTTTACCCTGATTACAGACTTCAAAACCTGATCTATGTAATTCAAAACATGATGCAGCTAAAGCTTTACTCTACTCAATGACTATCATAGCTTTTCAAAAACACTACTCAAACTTGTAAAAATTAGGGGAATTTGGCGTCACTGTTGAGCTGCTTAAGAGAACCAGGGATAACATCGCAAAGACTATTTAGATCAAAGAGATAATTTAGCTATAGAAGGAGAATGAAAATCTGAGTCGAACGGCACCCAAGTGGTTATCTCGGTGTTCTTTGAGTTTTAATGATCTTTAAATTCATAGAAACCGAAAAATTTTTCGAGACAACGTAATGTCATAGTAAATTAGTAAACCGAAACAGCTGATAAAAAACAATGGGACAGTTAGGCCATCGACGACATAATGTTGCCAGGACAATTAAGCTTTCCGACATAGGGCTATGAAGAAGAAAATGTGAACGCTTTCAACATGTTTTACTAATTTCAGTTTTTCAAAATTTTCTTGGGACTTGTGCTGTTTTTGTTAAAATCTCGAAAGCTTTTTCCATGACCTTTGCGAGAGGTACAGTCAGGAACCGGCATAAGTTGGCTTGGAGGATTTTTAAAAACGAAGTCCGTCATGACCTCACAAATTTTTACGAAGTCCCTACTGACGTAGAGACTAGGAAGAAAACAACAACAATTCAAAACAAAAACAACAACAAAATGAAAACGGCTGTCGCCAGTTTAAAGGACGCCTTGGCAGACATATGATCAGAGCGCCATATCTATACCTGCGTTTACCTGTACTATTTTTGGCCAGGTTTGAGCAAGAGGTCAGGCCCATTTTCTTCAAAAACGACCTCTTCACCCCCTCCCCTGTGAAAGCTCCTAAACGACCCCTTCACTTTACCTTCAGGACCTCAGGTTGTGATATGTTGAAGAAGATCAGCCTTTACTAGAGGGTTCTTGTTTTTTTTTGGAAGTCTGTAGGCCCGAATTTCTGCGATTGCACGACCCCAACTTGACGGCAAATTCTGGATTGGGATAGCCCTTTTTTCAAAGCTATATTTCCACAGCGTTGGATTGTTTGGTTCCAAGTTTGCAATATAGCAATAAGAGGCTTTGAGCTCAATACTCATAATGGAGAAGGGGCGATTTTTGAATACTGAAGGCAAGTTAGTGGGGTCAGGCACAAGTCTGCGAAAGCTCAGGGAGCCTGACCTTTTTAGGGGTTGCGCCTGACCCCATTAACTTCATTTCCTAAAAAATTTTCTACTCAAGTTTTATGTGATTCGCTAGCACGTCATCGAGGATTCCACAGTAAGTGTTTGAGCGTGTTTTGACTTATTTCGATCTTGTGGTAATCCGTGGAGTTGAAGCACTAAAGGTGCTGGCTGGAATTTGGCAGCACTTCTTATTATACTATCTGTGAGCGATATAAAGCCTGATTCTTGGAGATGTAAAGAGCATTACTCTGTTGAGTGTAAACAAGCTGACTTTTTCACTTTAAAACCAAGTTCATTATGTTTGTAAACCAGGGTTTTTGAGAGACACTAGAAAATGCAGTAGATAATGGTTTGTAGAGCTCTTAGGGTAATGTGAGATGCTCATTACAAGAATGATACCCGTTTCACACAGCAAGCTTCCTTTATGACCTTATGATATGTCAAGGTAAACGATGAAGATTTAAATTTTGGCTGGAACTTCAAATGGGGAATCAATTAGCATGCTGTTTACAACCGTTATTCCTTCAGTTTGGGTGGAGGACCATATGTCGCCGAAAATTTGAGGGTCCCGCGCGGACAATGCAGCAGATACTCAGCCTGTGCACGTATTGAAATGTGCATTTGTGGCAGATGTCCGGCGAGACCTCCCATTTTCGGCGACATATAGTCCCCCACCCCTTCAGTTTTGGTGAGGCTGCGATATCCACCGGACTATCCCTTTTCTTCTTTACCTCAGTCGTAGTGTCTCCCCAACTGAACGAATTGGTTTTTGATTACGCCCCCCCCCCCTCCCTCAGTCTTACCCCAATACGACTCCCAGGTCGGGCAGACCTGACCTCACGCTCAACCAGTTTTTGGCTTAAAAATAGAGGGGAGGCAATGGCTCGATTTGCTGTATTCATTATGTAATAGATTTCCAAGCGTCTCAATTTTCCAGAATGAAAAGGTCTAAAACTTATGTGTACCTCCATTATCATGCTCCGAACCAACCCAGTGGGAACGGGTATTAGGACACACAAGTTTTTGAAACTTTTACACAATTTAGTCTGGAGTAATACTGTATACAAACAGCCCAAATTCGGTGTCATGTGATTGCTTGTGCGCTGTAAATAAGCCATTTGTCTATTTGGGCATCATTTTGAATTTGGCTTGGTGAAACAAAACATGTTAGAGCATGTCATCCATGTACCAAGTTAATAGTTAGCATATCTGGAGGCCACTTACATGTGTGTTTGGCAGATTTTACGACACTTTTTTGCTTTTACCCCAGTTTGACACCAAATTATCTGTGCTCGCCATGGGACAGGCGTTGAACGAGCTGACAAATAAATCTTTCTTACTTTTTTACAGAGATTGGACTCGATATCAGTCTTTCTCAAGCTCATGGCGACTGCAGCGTTTTGCTACTGTACGCCGCATTATTTCCAGCATCACCAGGCCAGCATATCGTATCCTGTATGTCATGCATACTGTGAGTCACTTTTATCAATTTCTTACTTTCTAATCGTTTATTTACATGACCTTTGTACTACTTCTACCTACTTGAATCTAAACCATAATCTATCTTTGATCTTTTATCTACAAGGCCTTGATCTATTGTAGCTCATTTTTGTTGTATGGATTCAAGAAAAACATATTCGTTTGTTAGCTATGGAGAGGCATAATTCGTAATTGTGTTTACTGTACCTCTGCTCGATCTAATAGCTCAAAAAAATCAAATTATTTTCTTATTAAATAGTTAGTATTCTATTGTACTAGCAGCTTTCAAACGAGCTCCAGCAAAGTTAGCAGTTTTCAAAGAGCTCCTCGTAAATTTGGAAACTGCAGAGTTCATATCCACAAAATATGTCTAAATTTGGTAGGATTTGAAGATGGCACTGTGAATGGGTTCCCCGAGAGAAGCGGGAATCTGCTACAAGAACATTCTAAGTTTGCAATCTGACGTTCTTAATCATTTTTGCTGCTCTTTTTAAACGCTTTCTAGCATATAGAGTAAACCACATAAAGTGTGACACAAAATTATTTTGATTTTTTGCATTGTGTGAATGCAACTGCAAGCTTTTGTCTTTATCTGAATGCGTTTTGATCTGGTTAAGATCTCATAGATAATTTTCTAGACAGTCTTTTCTGGCTTTATTTATTTATTTGCTTCCGAAAATTTCTCAAGGTGCGGCACTGGTTTTTGTCGAAATTTCGTCCCAGCTCTCAGCAGGGAGGAGGGGGAGGGGTATTATTATACTTTGGACAGAATCGAATAAATATTCGAGTATTCGAATAAAGTATTCGAATAAATTTTATTCGAAATTCGATTATTCGAAAATTTTAAAATCTCGAATATATTCGATATTCGCTTATTCGAAATTTGTCAATTTCGAATTTATCGATTATTCGGTTATTCGAAAAATTTGATTTTCGAATATATTCGGACATTCGAATATTTATTTTCAGAAGTTATTCGATTATTCGACAATTTCTTATAATCGAATAACTACATGACAGCGTCGCAATTTTGACTGCTATAACAGCAACCATCGTTTGTTGTCCAAGTTGCTCACTGCATGGAGTCCTTCAATGCGCTATTTCAATCAAAATTTTTTGAATATTCGACATAATCGGTGCAAAATATTCGTTTACTCGATTTTTTTCTCAAATATATTCGACTATTCGGATTTTTTTCAATTCGAATATATTCGATACTCGATTATTCGACGATTTTCTTATTTCGAAAATATTCGATATTCGATTATTCGACATTTTTGTTTCTCGAAAATATTCGATATTCGAATATTCGACATTCTCTGTTTTTGAAAATATTCGAAATTCGATTATTCGATATTTTTGATTTTCGACTTTATTCGGTTATTCGATTATTCGAAAAACTCGAATATTCCAAAGTATTAGGTCGTCCCAAAAGTATTTTCGCTTTTTTTGAACAAGCGCTACTGTCCGCTGAATAAAGGTTTGCTCGAATGCTTGGCAACATTCGATGCAGTTTTTCATGCTCTTTCAAATGTTCATCTTCGTTTAGCAGTTGAAACAATGAGCTGTCAGAAAATTGCGATAAACTGCGACTCATGCTTTTTACCGAGGTCAAGTTCCACTATTTTTCTAAATTCTTGTACTGACCCCCCGAAGAAGTCCAAGTAACCTGCTGATAGAGCAAAGGATACAGGATAGGATACAAACATTTTCGATCTCCTTCCCAGGGCTCTCCATAATTTTTGACAGAATTTTGAACAACACCATCGAATTTTAGGAGTCCCATACCAGACGCAGGTCGTCAAACTCCACTAAATTCTCGATTTTTGATACCTTCAAAGTGGATTAGGATTTAGCACTAATTATACGAAACAAATGAGCGTTTCGGGGTTCGAGATATCTAATTTTTGATTTGTCGGGTACAGCCTGAGGTTCTTTAAAAAAATGAATTTTGTCGATTTTATCCTCCAAGACTTCGCGAATCAGGAACAAAACACATGCCTCTGAAAGAGGAGAAAATGCTGCGTCGAATAACACCCGGTTGCTCGGCGACTGTTGTTCTATGAGGTTTAAGTTGACCAGATATGGAATTTGATAGCATCGAAAAAATAATTTTGAAAAATTTTCAATGCAAGCTATGAAGGGGCAAAAATTGTTTTGCATCCTACTTTGTTTGCTCTATCGACAGGTTACTTGGACTTCTTCGGGGAACCAGTACAAGATTTTAGAAAAATGGCTGAACCTGACCTTGGTAAAAAGCATGGATCGCAGTTTATAGCGATTTTCTGAAAGCTCGTGGCTTCGTTTGCATTATAAAGATGATCATTTTAAAGATCATGAAAAACTGCATCGAATGCTACCAAGAACTCCTGTAAACCTTTGTTCTGTGGATTGTGGCGCTTGTTCAAAAAAAGCGAAATACTTTTGGGACGACCTAATACTTTGGAATATTCGAGAATTTTTTCGAATAATCGAATAACCGAGTATACTCGAAAATCAAAAATATCGAATAATCGAATTTCGAATATATTCAAAAACAAAAAATGTCAAATATTCGAATATCGAATATTTTCGAAAAACAAAAATGTCGAATAATCGAGTATCGAATATTTTCGAAATAAGAAAATCGTCGAATAATTGAATATCGAATATATTCGAATTGAAGAAAATCCGAATAAACGAATATTTTGTATTGATTATGTCGAATATTCAAAAAAATTTTGATCGAATTAGCACAATGAAGGACTACATGCAGTGGGCAACTTGGACAACAAACGATGGTTGCTGGTATAGCAGTCAAAATTGTGACGCTGTCATGTAGTTATTCGATTATACGAAACTAGCTGGCATACCCGGCTCCGCCGTATGTTCCAAATAGAAAATTCCATTTCTCAACCGATCCGAACCAAACTTGGCACACATACACTTCGGGCCCCGGCGGGTGTCAAAGTCCACTTTTCGTTATCGATTGATGTCGATTTTATCGATTTTTTGCAAAATTTGAGCTAGGGGGCTGGGATTTGGCAGGGGGGTGTAATCGAGCCTGCTGATCACCCCCACGGGGGTGATCAGCATGCTCGATTACCCCCCTGTGCCAACTCCCAGCCCGGTAGCTCAAATTTTGCAAAAAATCCATAAAATCGATATCGATCGATACGAAAGGTGGCCTATGACACCCGCCGGGGCCCGAAGTGTATGTGTGCCAAGTTTGGTCCCGATCGGTTCAGAAATGGAATTTTCTATTCGGAACATACGTACACACAGACAGACATACAGACAGACATACATACAAACAGACATTCAGCTTTATATATAAGATTGTCGAATAATCGAATAACTTCCGAAAATATATATTCGAATGTTCGAATATTTTCGAAAATCAAATTCTTCGAATAACCGAATAATCGAATAAATTCGCATGACAAATTTCGAATAAGCGAATATCGAATATATTCGGGATTTTGAAAATTTCGAATAATCGAATTTCGAATGAAATTTATTCGAATACTTTATTCGAATACTCGAATATTTATTCGATTCGGTCCAAAGTATAGTATGTATTATATTAGGTTGATGCATAATTCCTGAACCAAAGGTAAGACCGCAATAACTCGGAATATTCCTATATCCCAAGTAGGATTCGATATATCATTAGATAGAGCAAACCTAGCTCTACAAGATAGTGACTAAAGTTTTGCAGCAGCTTTGATCCAAGCGAAGATTGAAGCCAAAAACGGAAAAGATCCAAGCGCCCCAAAAAACCAAGAAAAAATTGAAAGTCAGTTCGGAAAAACACTTCAAAATTTCTAACTTGCTCATGCATTGTCATTTCGTATAAGACATTCCTCTGTGCAGTTGCTGTATTTTTCTCTCAGCTCGAAATTGAGAAAACGAAGTTTTTCATGTTTTTTCCAAAACAATGCTGAGATGTTCTAGCGCTGACAGTTGTATACTATAGGATCTTAGAAGCGTAAATGTGAATTTTCAGCTTTTTACAGCAGCTAGTTTATGAGAAATATTGAATTTTTGGCAACTAAGCAAGAAAAATTCGCATGAAGAGAGCTAGATCCGTAATTTTTTCGTGAACTAGCTGTTCTAGAAAGCTGAAAATGTAAAGTTTCACTGCTAATGACATGTACTATACAACTGTTAGTGTTAGAACATCTCAGCACTAATTCGGCAAAAACATGAAAAACTCCGTTTTCTCATCGTTTATATGAGAAAAAAATACAGCAATCTCATAGATAGATGTCTTGCGTGAATGCCTACGTGAGCAAGAAAGAAATTTTGTAGGAGCTTTTGAACGAAGTTACGATTTTGTTTTGATTGGTCATAAGGTTTTCGGACGCATGGTTTTTTTAGTTTTCGGCTCAAAACTTCGCGTGGATCAAAGCTGGTGTAGATATTTGAGCACTGTTTTGTAGAGCTAGGTTTGCTTTATCTAATGATATATCGAATCGTACTTGGAATATAGGATTATCCCGAGTTATTGCGGTCTGTACCTATTTTGGTGCAGGAATTATGCATCAACCTAATACTTGGGTCCGAATCGAATAGAAATTCGATCATTCGAATAAAACGTTCGAATATATTCGTATTCGGAATTCGATATTCGGAGTTCTTCCATTTTCGGATAATATTCGAAACTCGAATAATTGAGAAAACGGGGTTTCGAATAACATTTGAAACTCGAATAATCAAAAAACAGGGTTTCGAATAAAATTCGAAAACTCGAATAATCAAAAAACAGGGTTTCGAATAGATTTTATTCGAATGTTTTATTCGAATGTTTATTCGAATTCGTATTCGAATGAACTCCGTATTCAGACTATTCGACTTTGTTGCAGAGCCAACTGCTGAGTATCAAGCTCACTTCGTCCGCGTTTTTTTTTTTGCAAAACTCGGTATAATCCATCTTTTTCAACCGTTATACCTTTGAACTGTATGGAGAGTCGCATTCTTCCGACTCTTGCGACAGTAAGAAAATCGTATGTGGATTTTAATTTATGCTTTTTCGACCAATGAGATTGTTCGCACTGCTATTATCAGCAAAGAAGCTATCAAATTTAAGCTCATGTTCCGGGTTCATATATTGAAAGTCTTTGAAATGCTTGTTTTTCTTTCTTTGTACTGCTCATGGTTGTGGTACGCAAAGCCCACACTAGTGAGCATTCTTGGTCGCGTATGTTATATTCAGGGTTGAGCAAGAGGTCAGGCACAAGTCTTTCCAAAACGACCCCCCCCCCCAGTGAAAGCACCTAAACGACCCCTCTGCTTCACCTCCAGGACCTCAGGCTGTGATAATTCGAAGAGATCAGCCGTTTTTGGGAGGTTCTTGTTTTTTGGAGGTCTGTAGGTCGACTTTCTGCGATTGCACAGCACACGCAACTTAACGGCAAGTTTTGGATTTTGGATAGCCCTACTTTTAGAGCTATAATTCCCACAGGGGTGTATTGTTTGGCTACAAATTTGCAGTATTGCAAGAAGAGGCTTTGAGTTCAATACTCATAGCAGAAATGGAGCGATTTTTAGATTTTGAAAACAAGTTAATCGGGTCAGGCGCAACCCCTCAAAAGCTCAGGCGGCCTGACCTTTTGTGGGGTTGCGCCTAACCCGATTAACTTTATCATTGAAGAAGCTTTTTTATTCAAGTTTTATGTGAATCGCTAGCACAACCCTCGAAGATTCCACAGTAAGTGTTTGGACTTGATTCGACTTGTTTCGGCCTTGTGGTAATCCGTGGAGTTGAAGCAGTCATGGCGAAAAATGCGCCGGTCGGAATTTTGGCAATATTTCTTACTCCACTATTTGCAAGCGATACAAAGCGCGATTTTTAGCCTAGACTAGTAGGGGACAATACTTTGTTACGAGTACAAAAAAATTGACTTTTCTCACTTTTGAAAACAAGTTAATCATGTTTGAAAATTACGCTTTTTAGTCGTTGAGAAACACTAGATAATGCAGTAAATAATGGTTTGTAGGGCTCATAGAGGTAATTTGACGTGCTCGGAAATGATACCCATCTCACACAGCAAGCTTCCTTGATGAATTTATAATATGTCAAGGTAGAAGATGAAGATTTGATTTTTGGCCGAAACTTCGATTGTGGAATCAATCAGTATGCTGTTTAAGACCGTTCATTCCTTCAGTACTGGTGAGGTCGCGATATCCACTAAACTAGCGCTTTTCTTCTTCACCTTAATCGTAGTATCTCCTCAATCGAACGAATTCGATTCCTAATCACTACCCCCCCCCCCCTCTGTCTTACCCCAGTACGACCCCCCAGGTCGGGCGCGCCTGACCCCACGCTCAACCCTGGTTATATTGCACAACTGCTTCTATTCGCTACCTTAGAGATTTTTTGCGAATTGGTGTGTTTTGAGTAAAGGACATCGCAGTGTAGTGGAGGGTTAGACGGTTTAGATCATCCTACGCGATTTGCCAGTTACGAGATATTTTCAAATGCAACGTCAGCTTACAACAAATGCTTAGCGTGTACAACTTACTAAAAAGATAAATGCCATGCATTGTGTACTCAAGTTTTTAACAATGTGACTTCTATTGACGTCTCTTTGACAATTTGAAGTTTGAGCTGCGGGGCTGGGAGCTGGAGGGGGTAAGTAAGGGTGCTGATTATGGATAAAAATCTACTATATCGATTTTGTCGATTTTTGGAAAATGCTGAGCACGAAATTGGGAGTTGGTACAGGGGGTGGGGGGGGGGGGTAAACGAGGATGCTGATCAAAACAGAAATTTATTTTGTCGATTTTAGCGATTTTTGGAAAATTCTGAGTTGGAGTTGGTATAGGGGATACGAGGGTGCTGATTATGAATGAATCGGCTTTGGCCAGATATGTCGGCAAGTTTGAGATATGGTTGCTTTAGTTGTTCGATAAATTCGAATATTTATTCGGAATTCGACTTCCAATGTTCGAATATATTCGGTATTCATTCATTCGATATTTTTTATTTTCCAATTTATTCGGAATTCATTCATTCGAGAAATTTTGAACCTCGAATCTATTCGATATTCGTTTATTCGAGATTTTTTATTTTCGAATTTATTCGATGTTCGTTTAGTCTAAATCTTTCCTTTTCGAATTTATTCGATATTCATTCATTCGATAAGATATTTTCAAATTACCCAAGCATAGCAGTATGTACCAGACTCCCAAAATGACAAGAAATTGCGTCTAATCTAGTTTAGCCTTGACTCGTCTTTTCCTAACTAGAGTTGATCCAGCTCAGATAATTGACCGTAGTGATATGAAAATAGCAAATCGCAAGTTGTCGAAGTTCTAAAAAAGCATCAAAAGCAAATTTCAAAGGGCTTGGTGCTTTTTTGAGCCGAAATAAACAACTGTGAATCCCGTCTAAAATTTTTGGCAGGACAAGACTCCAACCCATATTGCATTGCTGTGAGATTAATCTTTCGAACATTTAAAAAATAACGTTTAATTATGAACTCGCTCAATCTTAATCGTACGGATTCTCCTTACAGTTTACGTATGAGCAAAATGCCTACTATTGCAAGCCCATGCCACTCAAACTGCTTAAAATCAGCGTACACCCAAAATTTTCTCCATGTTTCAAATGCTATCGGGCCTTTCCATGGCGGTGATTCGAGATATGAGGTTCAAATCACCAGAAAATTTCAAAATTGTCTTTTCTGAAGCCCTAATTTTCGGCAGACCTGGACGAGTGCCTCGGTGCTAGTCATCTCGTATGCTACCACAAAATTCGTCGTGTGCAACCGTGCCGCATCACAAACTATGCATCTCGACGTTCTTTGTCATGTGAGAACACGTCGGGCAATCCGTGGGTGGGTAAAACGCAAAAAAGGACAGAGCGCAGAGAGGATCCGGTTTGTTATCTCGTTTAGTAGGCAACATTAATGGATCGGACCAACGCGGTTGGTCTACTAGGGCCTGCTAGTAGGATAAGTAGTAAGTGAGCAGATTTTGGGTGGACGCCGACTTTAAAAACCCTCGTGAGAGCCCGTAACAAAACCATAGTGAGAAATTTTTGGAGAAAATATTGCTACCAAAACCGGAGAAAGATATTCTGAAATGATCTGGAAAGTTCTATACATAAGACAAAAGTAGTCTTATTTAGCCTTGCAAATTAATGAAGATGTTTTTGCGTTTCACCTTTTGGATCAACCCATAGAAATTCAAAACTTGCAAAATTTCTGTAATCTACAACTTGTTCAAAACCGTCGCGGTTTTCAAGTGGTTTTTTTGGGTTTTCATTGTTTTTTTTCCTTCCACACTACGAAAGCAGCGTCTCATCCGGTAAGCCACACACAGCTTCTTTTTCCTTTTTCGCCTCACAACGAGTTATTTTCATTGCAGTGCCGCGAATCTACGCAGTGTTCGAGTACACGATGATCATTTCCTACGGTGTCTTTCACATGACATCGCTTATCGACATACGGCATATCACATTTCTCTGCTATCCACGCACTTGCTCAGGCGAATGCGAACCGCTCGATCCACAAAACTTCAAGAAAGGAGCGAAATACGAGCACTGCCGTGCGTACGAGTATCAGCAACGGCGTGCATACGCGCAAATGGACGAGGATAGCTGCTGTTAGGATCTCTGCAAGTTAAAAGCAAACACTACTGCTGGATATAAACCTCACTTCTCGATGTGTGCCCGAGAGCACTCTCAGGTTTCGTAGTGTAACTTTTAGATTTCATGATCTGCGATAAACGATTTACAAATTTGCCAGTGTCTGCACATAGGTAAAATTTGTTGATGGCTAAAGCATTTGAAATGAATTTTCAAAGAACCAGAATAAATCCAAGATGAGAAGGAAGGTTTGGTTCTTAGGCTCACATCTTTTGTGTGAAAAAAATAGAGTTGTCATTCCTTTTCACTCTGTCAGTAGGAGCTCGAATTTTCGGTATTAGGTTGTTCGAGAAGATGTGCCACTTCTTCTTACAGAAGAAAAAAAGATGGCGAAAACGTGCTGGTTTGGGATTTTAGATGTTTTTTGCGCGATGCCAGCTATCAAAAAGCTATTCTACTGCAAAGAAATCAAAATGACCCAGTTAAAACAGTAATATCCAAAAAACAATATTCTATAGGTTGAAAAGCTGCGAAAACTTTTTCAAACGATAGGTGCATAGAACCTGTAGCGGCTTGAAATAAAAATCTGCATGTACTGTTCGCCTTCATCAGACATGACCGCATTTGACTATTTAGCTTGCTTCGCTATTTCATGAAGTTCTCAATTTTATCGTGACGCGATCACCTCGCTGCTTAGAAAATACATCCCCTGATATGAATATTCGGCAATCTAACTTGCCTGCAAAGATTCATTTATTCTTCATAAATACAATACAGTTGTAACAATGAAATGTGTCCAAAATTGCGGTTTTCGCGGGATTGCCGAGATTTGCGGATTTGCGGTATTTTATCGCTCTGTTTCTTATGACAAGTGATCTATAGGCTCTTCCGCTTCTATAGCCCGGTGCAGTAGGCATCTTTCGCTTCAGTAATGGATTGATCGCTCGTCGGATACCACTGCTGCCCGTTTGTTTATCGGGTTTTTGCTTTTAACTCGCACCACACTGGAGCCTGAAAGCTGAAATTTTGCTTACACATGGAAGGTGAGGGTGGGAAACCCAGCATATGACTATGAGCCAATTTTATCTGTCCTTATCATTGACCTTCTCATTTACCGATTATCATAGATGATATCACAAATTTAGATCACTTCGCTAGTACCGTAAGTACGCTTAACGAACTCTATCGCTCTGGCTTTCATGGTAAGCGATCGAGGCTTTTCCGATTTTATAGTTCGGTGCAGTTGTTAGGTACCTCGCTGCCAAATGATTGATTTTTTAATGATGTATTCACACTTCTGACGAACATTGGAAAAACAGTCGCTACTCCAAACCAAGAATAACTTATGAAAGAAGCATAACAGTAGAATGCAACTTTCATATTTAAACATTCATCAATTATCAGAAACAGCGATTTCGATTGATCCAGTGCACGAGCTTCGGCTTGTCTGGTTTTCCTTCTGAAACAAAAACAAATTTTTTTTAAAATCCTTCTCGAAGTTTCTACCTTATCCCACAGTAATCAAGAGCGATCAATGATTCGCTCTTTACAGTAAATCCGAGTTGAACCTCGCTCTACAGAATGGTACCTTAAGCTCTGCAAAAGACGTGAAGCAAGAGAGTTATTAGCGATCAACAGTACCCACATTTTTGGGACATACTAATTGATGAACAAATTGAGTGGAAATAAATGTTGTTACACAATACACTACTCAGTTCATCATGCCTTTTCGCCTACCTATGATTCCTGTTGGTAAAGAAACGATATGATGAACACTTGAGTTTCTACAGACAATTTCGCGTAGTTTCTAATTTCAATTATCTAATTTCATGACTTCTCCTAAAGGCTGAATCCAGACGAATGCAACTGCTTATGCACATGAACATGAGCCATCATTTGCCCTTATCATCGAAATCATCATTTATCAATTATCACTGATAATATCACAAATTAAAATCACTTTGGTATGTAGTAAGATACAAAAACCCGCACGAGTATTATTGCTCTGACCGTGAGCGATCTAAGGCTTTTCCTTTTCTATTGTTCGATTACAATCAGCAATGCAACTACTCACAAGAGATTTCGACGAATGTTAAGATCTTCACGGTTTGGACGATTTTGGACCAGTGGCCGTATTCATCAACGAACCTTGAGGTTAAAATCTACCTTGAGAACATGCCTCAAGGTAGAATTCAACCTCAAGGTAACTTTGCTATTCACAAATCTACCTTAAGGTTAAAATCTACCTGGTGGTCAGCTGAATGCCCACTGACGCTTATACAGAGCATGCCATGACGTATTAGCGGTGTATGAGTCCCTCGCTGTTTGTGAATCTTTAAATTGTCAAATTAGTGCAAACTTACATACAATAGGTCCAATTTCCGTGTTTTAACAAAAAAAGCATTCTAAGAGACCCGTCGTACTTCACTCAAAAGCGCCCAAAAGCGCCCAAGAGCGCGGTAAAGCGCCAGAAAGCCCAGCGCTTCCATTCGGGTGCGTAGTACCTAGAAACCACTCATACTTCGCCCAACAGCTCTCAAAGCGCTCAAAAACGCCGAAGCGCCAGAATGCTTCCTTTACGAGAGTGACTTTGCGCTGAAGCGTTAGTTTTGGAAATGTGTATACCAGAACAACTACATTCAGTCACATTTATAATGAAACATGTTCCGATTACATTCAAGTCGGCTCAAGCTTCACCATAAAAGTGTTCTTGCTTTGTAAACACAAGCCAACTCTATTTGCATGACTTTCATTTTCTAAGTTAGTAGTCTTTCGACCGCTAGAAGGATAGATACCTTTACAAATTAGTTTTATACATCGTTCATAATTGCTGCTTGCACTCAAAAACTTTCTAAAATAACATGCTGAGAACTTGTAAATTGATTGCATCCTGACTTGATGTCATCATTGCGATTCTTAATCTACGTTTTTGAAAGATGATGAGTTCCTATTTCGCAATTCAAAATTAATTGTAGCGTTGGCTGGTATTTCTAGGAATGTTTGCTAAAAGTTGCGTTTTGGAGCTTTTGGGCCCAGGGGTTTTGGGCGCCTTTGAGCTCTTTTGGGCGCCTTTGAGCTCTTTTGGGCGCTTTTAAGCGCTTTTGGGCGGAGTATGACACGTTCTCATGAAACTAGGAAATCATCTTCATAATTGAGCGTGTCAACTGACCCTTATTAGATACAAGTCTACGGTTCTTGACTATTAGAGTGTGAGTAGATTTGAATTTGAGCTGCACTATATAATACTACCGTATTCATTGAACGGGAAGCATAAAACATGAGACACTTTCTCGTCTAGTTTAGTGTTTAGGGAAGATACTGCAAGTGTGATTGAGTGATTCAAATTTCAAGAATTATATCATCATCACATTATCTAGGAGAAAAACGATGTGTTGATATGATATATCTCTCAAATTACAATTTTTGGGATTGCATATTTGCAATCCAGTCAATCTCAACAGTAACTTCCATGTTTCCTCCTTTCTTAACCTCGGCATAGTTAGTTGTAATGTGGTGAGTAGTTAGTATGCCAGCACGAGGTTAGTAGATTTATTGTTAGTAGTGGCGGCCTAACGTTTCGACAATTCGAAAGAAGACGAAATTGTCGAAACGTTAAACCGCCACTACTAACAATAAATCTACTAACCTCGTGCCGGCATACTAACTACTCACCACATTAAATCTCAACAGTATCTTTATCAAACTTTACAATAGGATGAATACTGCATTGATTTAGTTCTAGCTGCAACCGAAATTGGCGATTATCTATTTAGACTAAAGTTTCGGCAATAAGGGCAAAAGCAATTTGAAAACTACCCGATCAGGCATCTCCTCAACCTACAAGCAGAATTCCTTCTCAAATCATAAGCAGTTTGCTACACGCAGTACTCACATTTCGTTTGCGGGTAAGGTTCTGGGAGATCGCTTAGTGATCGCTTGAAAAGGAATCCATGTTTTCACAGTAGGAGATCTGATCCAGATATAGCGCGAGTCTTTGCGTAACATAAAGACATTCTTTTTTGAGAATCATCTTGGAGCTTCTAAAATAAATTCAAAAGGCATTTAAAGTTTGCTAAGTGGATGTTTGAGCTCTGCTCGCTAGGCAAGTTTCACACCAAAAGCAACTCCTATGATCTTGCACTCTGTGGGCACCCAATGGAGCGGATGTAAAGGCTGCTGCATGACGAAGGCGCAATACCCTTGGGCGCGAACGCGGCTTTATTAGCCGCAGAGCGCATAAGGCGCAGGATTTACAACGGTGAAGATACGCGCGCGCCGAGTTCGCGCCCGCTCAACTATTGACGCTATTGCGCCTTCGTCATGCAATAGCCTTTAGGTGATCTATCCTGCCTTTAAGAGGTTACACCAAAACGTAAAGAGCGTGCCGTTTCTGCCATATACATAATCGCACAGTTTAGAGCTTTTCTGACTTAAAGCTTAGAACTTAGAAAGGCAAAGTATAATTGTTATGAATCTGTGATGACGGCCACAAGTTGCAAAGATTTTTGAGGAGGAGCTCGCTTGAATTACAAATTACCGATGCGTACTTGACATTGATTGGTTCGATGGTTCACCCACTAATGATCATTGAATAACTTTCGAAAACTTGAAAACACCATGACTAGATGAGAAAAAATAGACTAAATAAATAAGCAAAATTCAAGCTATTAAGAGTATAATATATTCGTGAGTGGAAAAACGGCTCCGTTAGAATTAAGGAAGTCCTTAAAAAGAGTACAACTGTTTTGTGCAAAGTCAAGGTAGATTTTAACCCTAGCTATCCTAGGGTTAGATTTTACCTCGAAAGCATAATAGAAAGCTGATGGAGAAATGATGATTGAGGTAGATTTTAACCCCAAGGTAGAATGATGAATACGGGTTTATGCGTTCAAAGGTTCATTTCTACCTCAAGGTAGACTTAACCCTCGAGAAAATTTCATAGCGATCATGTTGTGAATACGGGTTATAAACTAAAATGCTAGCTGAGGTAACTTTTAACCTCAAGGGTTCGTTGATGAATACGGCCACAGGACGTCTTTCGTAGCTCGTTACTCGGCGACTTTTACAGTGTAAAGCCTCAAAATGCGCGCTCTGATAGCAGAACTCCTATTGACCTCAACCTAAAAACCGAGCAGG